CTTCGTACCAACCGCGCTCTCCGAGGGTTCGTTAGCTTCGCTGGCATGGATCCCAACACTCTTGCCCTCGCCATCCAAGGTCAGCTGATCTTCTCGATGCCTCCTTCAGTCACTCGTTCACTAATTCATGTTCATTCATTCCCATTGTAGGTCTTCGAGCTACCGAGGTCGACCTCTCAACACTCGGCCTTGACCAGGACACGTTCCTTGCTCTTCAGCGATTCCAACAAGAAGCAGACGACCAAGAAGATCCGTTCGCCCTTGTTGAAGCCCTGGCCAAGACTGCTCAACAAGTTCAAAGTAGTGCCTCCAAGCGTAGTCGTCATGGAAGTGACGATGGCAGCCTTGATGATTCCTCTGAGGAGAAGACCCCAGTTCCATCTGGTCGAGGTAGCAGACCATAGCAGACCAGGATCGGCAGCTGCTACTGGCGAAGGATCGGCTGCGGCTGCCTCAAGTCCAACCCCCAGTCGTCGGGGTCTCCACAAGCCAAAAGCTTGGAAGAACAAGCCGAAATCCAAGCGTCAGAAGGCTGCTTCGCGCTCGCAGGCTTCAGCTCGTTTCCATTCCAGCCAGATATCTCGTTGCTCGACACCTCGGCCGCCTGCGCGTTCGCCTTCAGTAGCCCATGCGAAATCGTCCGTAAGTCGCCCGAGGTCTCGTTCGCATTCTGTGTCGAGTCATCCGGTTATATCGAAGTCTCCAGCCTCTTCAACGTCCGTTCCTGCAACTCCTCCCAAGGCTGAACCGTCGAAGGACGACCAACCTCCGGCGGTCATGAACTTAACGCAAGATGGGAGTGACGAGGGCATGGATGAAGGATCAACCGCAGTTCCGACAGTACCCGAGGACCCGGAGGTGACTCACCCAGCATCACCAACTCCTCAGGCATCTTTCCAATGCAACAACGTAGCTTCTCCACCGTCGTTTGCTTCTTCGCCACCGCCTGTTGCCTCCCCACGGGCTCCTACCTCATGCGAACACCAGATGCAGTTATTTTTTTTGGATCTGACGACGATGAGGATGCTCCAAGCAGTTCAAAGGCATCCTGTGAACCCGCGGGGCTGACGCCACCTTATCGCTCTTCCTCTGAAGAAGATACTCCGTCACCTCCTCAGCGTTCTGACCGCCCACCAATTTCCAAGCAACCATCAGTTCCGCCCCCTCGATCTCCCGATTCTTCCGATAGCGATGAGGGTGGATCCAGCAATGGTTCTCACGACGGTAATGGAGCTGGTGGAGATGATTCTCGTGACGATTAACCTTCGTTCGATTTTCCTTCTGGTGAGCTGGTGATGAAGACATCCCGCCGTCGCCTGACATTTCTCGAGCATCCGCTGCTGTCGAGGGTTCTATTACCGGCGTTCCGACGACTTCTTCCCCGGGAACTCCACGAAGCCTCTTCCAGTCGCGGATTCCGCGTCCCGTGAAACCTCGTCCAGGGCGCCTCAAGCTTCGTCTCCAATGTCAAGAGTTCTCACGAGTCCAACAACTACTCGTCGTCACTATCCCCCTCCGGGGTCTGCACGGAGCCAGACTTCACTTCTTCCTCAGGAGGCTGGTCCCGGGCGAGTAATCATGGCTACGTACACTTCTCGTCACCGGCGTGGTGATCCGGATCCTCCAGTGCCGCTGCCGATGACTCACCAGACAGTCCGCGGCACCCGTTCCGCAGTGCTACCGTCGGCGAGCTTTCCTCCATGGGTTCGACCGTTCCGTCGTCAAGGAGCCAAGAAGTGTTTCGAACAGGTCCTGAGCACTGTGTTGCCGGATCCACTCCAGGTGACATGACCATCCGTGTCACTCTCGAGTCGCTGAACGCGTTCTTCGACTACACGAACCCAAGTCACCCATAGCAAGTCGATCGTCAGCTCCTTCCCGAGGATCCATTCTTCTTCAGCATGAAAGGATTTGACCCTCTCGCTTCGGTCTACAAGCGAGCTCCACTGGAAACCCATTTTCGCTGCCTGTGGACAAGCTTCCGGGGTGATGGTCCAATGCCAGATCTCGGCTTCGCACTTTGGGAGCGACGGCTCTGGATCCTCGCTGCCGCTGTCGGAAAGGGGTTCACGGTTGAAGAAGCAGAATCCAACTGCGACAAGGATCTCATCAAGACCAAGAGGGCCAGATTTCGAGTCTTGATGGGCGGGCGGAGCGCTCGGGGCAGACCGCCTCCGGAACATGTACCAGTTGCAGTACTTGAAATGGAGTTTGGAGTCCGCATCGGCCTCTCAACGCTCGCTCATCCGCCCTGAGATGATCATCGAGCCTTCCGTTCCCTAGCATCAGGTGGAGAACTTGCCGTTCGTTCCCAAGACAACCGACTGGCTCGCAGAGGTTACTGCGCTGGTGGATCGACAGCCTTGGCGTTCAAACTGGGTGTACCGACCGTTCGATCACCCGTACAACACGACCTACGTGCCACGCAATCGCGAGGCTCGGATCTTCTGCCCCCGCGGTGTTGATGTCGCTATGGCTAACCCAATTGCCAGGGCGATCACTGCCAACCCGTGCTTGCAACCCCCCGAGCTAATCCCGGACTGACAGGATTGCTATCTCACGGGACCAATGCCTGGGGATTCGACTGCGGCTGCGTCGACAGTAGGCAGTGGTGACGATGATTCAAGTACTCCTGCTCCTCCGCTAGCAGCTCGTTCGTCCCCTCCCGATGAAGACGAGAAGGAGAGCAGCGGCGACACGTCTCTGGGCGTGCTTGCTGAAGCCGCTCGGCGACTCTCGTCTGATTGAACACTCGGTGCTCGTCTCTTCGCCTTTGTCTGCTCTATGCCGATCTCCTGCGGGCGCTCCCAATCATTCTCTCTAAGCAGTCGAAGTTTCACACGCTTTCATGTCTTCGTTCTCTAATCATTTTCCAAATCGTAATCACGTTCACGTAAATCATACAAGTTGTTGGTGCAGTAACTCTCTTCGTCTGCTATCACAGGTTGCACCGCCCTGTGGACAGTTCACCGTGTTTAAGCCACGCTAATCTTCGTCGGCGACTTGGACCATCTGTAGCCGACGTTCACTCTTCTTGACCCGCAGATAGTCATAAAACAAGCCTCCACAGGACAGGTTAGATGATAGCTCCCAAGTTAGTTCATCATAGCCGACCCATTTGACTTTGAATTCTCGCACGGCTCGCTCAGTGCTCGTCGACTGTGGCATTCGGTCATCGAGGATGGCCTTGACCTCATATTCCCCTGCCAAGTGATCTGGTTCCCAGCTACCTTCAGGCAATAGCTCCTCATCGAAGTCAAACCTTATATCCTCGGTTACTTCTTGCGTCAACCGAGTCTTCGGTCGACTTGGATACTCGTTTACTGCCATGAGTCTTGACACATGCACAACGGGGTAGAAGCGATATCCGCTCTTGTCTGGTAACTCCAACTCGTATGCGAATTCTTCGACCTTTCGTTTGATCCGGAATGGTTCATGCCATCGATGTGCTAACTTCTTGGTAAGACCGGGTTTTACGCGTTCCATGTAGAGCCATACTCTACCTTCAGTCTCGGAAAGAGACCTCGGTAGATTCTTTACAGCATTGTTCAGGACCGACAAAACTGCTGGGTCATTCACCAAGCCTCCATTTTTCCTTGGTCCTGACACAGCGGCTTTATCCAGTCGACTTAGGGCTTCGTTATGTTCCTTGACTCTTCGCTCCTTTTCTGCCGCTTGATAGTCTTTGGACATAGTCAAAGCAACTTCGTGTTGTCGGGCATGACTCACGACTCCATGCTAACGCATCGGACTGACTATTGGAGGCTCGTCCGAGTGATGAAGACATCGCCAGGGGTGTGGATTGTGCGTCCCAGTCGTGAACGAGGTAGAACGGCGTCTCCATCCTTGTTGTGTCATGGGATGTGTTAATTGCAAACACCAACCTTTCAGCAATCTCATCCCAATCCTGCTGAAGAGGGTCTTCCGCGTACACACGAACAGAAGTCATCACCGACTTCACGGAGCATTCTTGTTGGCCGCTGGCCTGTGGTCGATAGCTTAAAGTTGCTCGTGATCGTGATTGCATCATCTCGGCGAAGGCTTGGAAAACCTCGCTCATGAACCTCGGGTCACGGTCATGCCGAATCAACGATGGTG